CAAACATTTTGTGAAAGAATGATATTGATTATTATTCACTCAACTAATCTTTATTTTTCTTCACCACCCTCATCATCACCGAATGTAATTTTAAATAATAAAAAAGCTAAAAAATAACTAAAATGGTATGAAATAATTAAGGATGAAATTAATAATAATAATAATAACCTACTAGACCAAATTAATCTTTCAAAAAAGGTTTAGGGGCGCTTGTGCCCCCTCACGGCCCCTCTGGCTCTGCCTACGGACTCTAGAGCGACTTGGTGAGCGACCCTCACTCCATGGCAGCTGGAGGCGTGATTTAGAATAGAAGCAGCTCAAGGGTGGCTTATGGTTTGACTGGAGACGAGGGTGGCTCAAATCAAGTCCCTTGGCATGACCCGGGGGCCGGGGTTACTCATAGCATGAACCAATGTTAATTAGGGTTGGCTCGCATATGTGAACAACAGTTGGGGTAGCTCAAAGGGTTACACAAGATCTGTAGCAGCTTTAGAGTAACTTGGAGTCCAAGCTTTTCTTTTATTCATTTTTCGTTGAACAAAAATATTTTTCCATTATCATATTCTCTTCAATATGCCAAATATCAAAAAATAAAAAGTATACTTTTCTAAAAATTTATTTTGTGCTAACGAAACTATCCTAAAGTTATTAATTTCACCAAAATACTTTCATAAAATTGTTGGATTTAAGATGCAATCTTACGAGGTAAAATTCTAGACCAAGAGATGGAGAATCTGAAAAAGTCTAAACCAACTTCTTTCATCCGAGCAACGTCTTCCTGTTAAATTAATTCTTCAGCATGCTGTAGTTAACTTTAAAACTGAAGAAAAAGAGAAGACTAATTAAAGAATTATTCACAAAACCTTCAATAAATAATAGAACTCATCTGCTACATCTCCATTGCTTCCGTCTGTAATTTTCTCTGCCATCAAATGAAAATATAACATGTTAATTTTTTTTATCTTATCTTTGAGGTGTTAATTATTATGCTTAGTTATTTGGTAACCTACTTTTATCTTGTTTTTATGGCAACTTACTTGGGTGTCAGCATGAAAGGACAAAATCTATTTGGTCTTTTTCGTTCATCTCGGTCAGTTGGCATCGGTGCGGGTTGAGAAACTGGACGATTTTTAAACGGGTGGAGGCAGATGCACA